AGATAAGATAAGATGAAGATGTTCTGTCTGACGTCAATTCGAAGTCAGAATTCGACTTTTGGTTTCTATATATTTCTATATGTTCGCACTAGCTCCTTAAACAATTTAAAGGCCTTACACGAGACTCTAGAATTGCATCGTGACAGACACTTCACTCAAAGCTTAATTATGACTGACTTTTAAGTGCAGGGCCTTGTAAATTGTTGCCCAACAGCTCAGTACAAGATTGCACGCCTCTTGACCTTACTAATGGCGTCCTCTTAACCCTTCATACTATCAGCTAGCCATGCTACTAGACTTGTAATCTCAAAGCAGCGCAAATAAAAACTGTCAAGTGTTAATTGCTGTTAATTTTAGAAAAACAAAGTTGATTTATTTTTAAATGTCACACTTCAGATCTTAAATTTTAAATCACGCGCCGTCGCTCTCGTGAATCCCACAGCTAATCAGTCTTAAGATGGTTCACATTTAAATGCGACAAATAATAAAGAAAAACTTTCAACTAAAAGTCTAGGAATATCTACCACTGTACTTGTATTGGCAAAGTAATAAATAAATTCAATCATCACAGAGTTACTTCAAAAGTTCCCCTCACATCGTTGCAGTCTTTTGTTTTTGTTCTTGCTTGAAAGATGACGGCGCGTATTTACATATTAATTCATCAAGGTCTGATTTCCAGTTGGATCTGGTAACAGGTTAACCTGCACTTGTGTCATTATGAATGCATTGCCCATTCAAGGCATAACACGGTTATAGAAAAAAATGTAAATAAACAACAATAATATCAAAGCAAAAAAACAACAAACCAAAAGCAAGGCTATTTAAAAATGTTAATCTTTAGTTACCTACCTCCATAGACTACAAGTATATTACGCCCTTCAATTAAAGCTGAGCTTAATTCTTTTCTGTTAAGGTGTGGCCTTTGTCTTATCTCTCCTTTTTTTCTTTTTTTTCACATATTCTGGTAGCGACGTCTAAGTCTCTCTTAGGAGAGCACTATGTCAATGGTTTATATTTGTCGACTTAAGTTTGTAAATAAAAAGTCTGTTTGATTCTCCTCTACTAATGTGCTTGATATTGCCCATTTCTGCTTGCTTTCATCCTATATACGTTCTTTATTACTTCGTTTTATTTTATATTTATTTCAGCATTTTGTCGGGGAGTAATGGCTCTGAATAACCTATAGTCGCTTGTCTATTGTAGTGCCTTCTCAGATCTCTACCAGAAAGATAATCACTGTTTGTGATAGATGAAGAAACACTTTTCTTTATGGGCCTCCAAAATTTTGATCATCTCTCATTTCTTCTCATCTTTTCTCGTTTTCTTTTAGCATTAAGAAAGGGACTTAATAATCCGTTTAAGTTGGCTAAATGTGTTGGGCAGAATCTTCTAAAGAACCTAGTTTTGTGGGTGTTCTCAATTTTTTTTCCTGATATATACGCTTTAATTATACTCTTCATATCTCAACTTAAATTAAACTTATAGCTAAATACAAATACAAACAAGTAGCAGAGTCTTATTGTTGTTCCCAAAGAACTAAGAGAGTGGCTGTACAACCACCTTCTCTCTGAAGATATAATCTATAATTCCATGCAGCAGTTCCTGTCTCACTCATTCCTTTCCGCTTCTATGCCTTAGTTTTGGTTTCATCTCGTGTTCATTCAGCCCAAGTGGATCTTTGTTTTTATTGAATTGCAATTTCGGGATTTCTGCGTAATGGTTCCACACATCGCATGATTTATCTCAGACGTTACGCTTAGTCATCTATGAACACCTGTTTACACAAAAGCCTCTCCGAACAACTGATTACTGACTTAGACCGGTAAGAGTCATTAAGATAGAATATATAATTTGCAGACATGTCCAATAGCAACGACAAACAAAAGGTGTCATCTAAGAGACAAAGAGCGTTGAAAAATGCTTGATTTCTATGTTTTATGTGCATATCATCTGAAATGTTAAGCAAAACAACTGTGGTTATAGCTAAGTGCATACCAGATCTGAGCGGTTTCTGGAGTTGCTGAAAATTCATTATGGTACTAAGTCACTGCCGAATACCTTGGGACAGGGTACGGTGACATAGTTTCATTATAAATTTGTCAAATCGCAAAATCACATGCCGATGAGCAGATCACGTTTTTATAACTCATGTGGCTTAAAAGCAAACAGAAAGCATCTCATAACCCATCATAGATAACCCATCAGAGATGATGATCAGAAGATAGCCCCTGTTTGCCGGTTCGTCTGTATTTTAAAAACACTTAGAGCTGCAGCTGCTAACGAATGATGGCATAGGAAATACTTATTAATTTCTTTTATATATTTTATTTAATACATAAAAAAAAAACAAAACAAGTCGCTGATCATTTAGCGGCGATGTCTGCGTCATGCTAAAAACAAACGGCATGGGAATTCGCTAGCTTTATATAAAGGTAACACCTTTAATGATAAAATAAAACACTTATTGGTTGGGTACATACCAGATCTTGGCGGTAGTCTAGCTGCTTCAATTTTTGAGATACTAACTCGACGTCAAGTTTGTTCGGACAGAGTACGTTGACATATGTCGAATTTGGTTCTCTCATACTCAAAAACTCAATCAATTTAAAAAAATTCGTATTTTGTTCGTCTGTATGAGTCCCTTGATCTCGGATATGATCAGAAATGTAACTATCAATTGAGATATATAACTTGATTAATATTTGTACTTACGTGTAAAATATCAATCAAAAATATCAATCTATATTCTTAGTATATATTAGAAATAATCAAAAAATTGAAAAAAAAAAAACAAAGATGATTTTATACATCAAAAAGAGAATCTTTTTAGTAATATGCGTGTATTTGTTTGTCTGTATGAACGCCTCGAACTGGAATATCATTAGAAGTATAATCACCAAGTTTGGTATTAGACTTTCTGTATTATTTATGCATAACGTGCTTATGTTAGATTAACAATATTAATATATATTGTTAGGCAATATAGTATAAATAATCAAATGCCAAAGAGCAATAGCATATACATTTTGGAATTTTAATTTTATTGTACCACAAGCTTTTTTAAAACCAATGTACATACTAATGCAAGAATTAGATTGCAGCCTATTACTCGTATTATCGTAAACTTTCTTTTTTATTACAAAATTTCAAGGTAAGACTTATGGCACTACTAGTATTTCCCTTATAGTGCTTAGTTTAGTAATCAAATTCTATCGCAGTTTGTTTGTACTATGTTTGTACTATGTTCTTGATTTAAACACACTATTCGGCACAGGCACGTTTCTATAGTATTATTGTTATTAAATCCAATCGGAAAACTTGAATTCTTCAGCCCATCTCATAACAGAAGAGGTATTACAAATATTTGGAAGCAATCATGTGCTAAAGCAAATGAAGAGATGTAGAAATCAAACAGTTTTGTTAAAGTTACAGAACCGAATGTGTATAAAATAGTTCACATATTTATAAAAATAGACGAAATGAAAAAATACATTTATACATAATTTTAATAAATACTTACAAAAACACAGACATACATACATACAAGTGTGTAGCTGGTAATTGAAATGCCAGAAAAAGAAGCACAAGCTTATTAAATACATGAATATATGAATTCAATAAACGCAAACATTGGCATTCATATGTGAATACAACTACATAGTACTTACATACATATGTATGGTATGTATTTATTTGTTAGCAAACAATAGCCAGTTAAAAATATTTTTTGATGAAAAGCGGCAATTATGGTCGGCTTTTCAAATGAAAAAATTAATGAGAATTTGAACAAAAAACTTGCTACTAAAAAATATGTGTAACAAGTAAAAAAGCTAAAGTCGGGTGTCCCGACTTTGAAATACTCTGTACATATGTTTAGAATAATTATAGAAATTAGGGAAGGGGGAGGGAAATTCCAAAATACACATTTTCTGCATATTCACATAAGGCAACTGGGACTAAAATTTGGTGTCCTTAGGTCTTATAGTCTCCGAGTTATAGGCGATTATACGAATGGAAAATCGGGAAAACCCCCATAGGGGGAAGTGGGGGGAAAATCCAAAAAAATAAAACAAACTTGCACAGCGTACACACATAACGCATCTTTGTGCAAACTTTGGTGTCTCTATCTCTTATAGTCTCTGAGATCCAGGTGCTCATACGGACAGACGAGCAGACTGACAGACGGACAGACAGACAGACAGGGCTAGATCGACTCGTCTAGTCATGCTGATCAAGAATATACTTCCTTCATTTTTCAGCTCCCGCAAACCTAATATACTCTTGTACATTTTATGTACAGAGTATAAAAATTATTCGTTTGCTATAATCATAGGGAAGCTCAAATACATTTGTTTTTAGATGGAGGCCAGTCAGTCTGTCTGTCAGTCCATCAGTCCGCCAGTCAGCTTGTCAACTATTTTGCAAAATTTCGGTTGAAAGCGGTCCTAACCAGATCAATCAATGTCTGCCTGCAATCAGAACGGCCGAAACGTTTGGAAAACAAAAACCGCAACAACAACAACAAACACACAAAACAGTAAAAATCGAATAATTATAATTGTCAGTCCAGTTAGGTAAACATTTTGTAACAAAGCTGCTGTCGACTCCACTGATAAACAGAAGTGGCGGTGGCGGCGATAATGAAACGGCCGCCACCCGCGATAAGAGAAAAAAGGCAAACAAAAAAAAAATAGAATAAAATATTGTCCATCGATAGGTAAGAAAGTGAAGCATTAAAATTGGCGTTTCAGAACAGAAAATACTGAAATACTGAAAATACGGCGAAGCGACTGTTAGTCTCGTGACGACGCGACGCGACGCGACGCGACTTCGATCGCCCACAGGCTTCGGCGGTCGCTGTTTTAATCGCAACGCTTTTCACAGCTGACAAGCGTCGTTTTAAAGATCGGCTGAGTGACTAAAGTGACTTATACCGAGCGACTAGCGCCGTTAACAGTGCCGTGCCTGCTGCTGAGTTTAGTCTGCAATCGCCTCGACTCGCAACGAGTCGTCAGAACGGCAGCTACGGAGCTAAGCAGCCCGCGATATTATTTCAAATTATACTTAAATATACGTATATAGAGAATATCAAATTCATATAATATAATACATTTTGAATAATATATATTCCGAGAGTGATAAACAAATAGAACGCCAAGCCATTTCAAGTCGTCGAAAGTGCAGTTTTTTGTGTGCGGGCGAGATAAGAAAAGTAATGGCTAGCAATAATGAGTACATTGAATTGTAAGTAATAATCGGATTATATACATAACACAGCAATGAAATCACGAATATTATCTCTGGCGAAAATTCGCTGCAAATAACAGCTGGCGAAGTGAAAATGAATGTGCATTCCCACTGAGAAAGAAATATTATCAACTAAGGTTTAAATTTCAAATCGAAAGGAAATACTAACATCTGATTATGAAAAGAAGATAGAATACAAACAGAAAGCAAACTACTATAATCTATTATTGGCAAGAAAATAGAAAATCCCATCTAATTCTATATTAAGGAGATGCAATCTAAAGGACTGATTATCTCATTCCGAAATACGCTCGGCGAAGTGATAATGAACGTAAATTCCCAATGAGAAACAAATATTTTCAGCTAAAGTTCAAATATTAAATAGAAAGGAAATACTAACATCTGATAATGAAAAGAAGATAGAAAACACTAAAATCATATAACAAAGAATATAGAATGTAATTCACTGCTCATCTTATTTCAAAATAGGCTTGAAAGAACAGCTGGTGAATTGAGAATGAGACTGAATTCCCAATAAGAAGCATATTCAATTCATAAAATCGAACGGAAACACAATAATCAGATAATTAAAAAAATATAGATATATTTTGATATTAGAAAGAAAAAGAATATGAATGCTATTAAAAAAAAGAATATAGTTTTATTCTGATATTAAAAAGATTATAGAATGTAAATGATCTTATTCCAAAATAGGCTTGAAATAATAGCTGGTGAATTGAAAATGAATGTGAATTCCCAATGAGAAACATATTCAATTCATCAATCGAACGGAAGCACTATAAACAGTTAATTAAAAGAATATACTTATATTCTGATATTAAAAAGAAGATAGAATGTAAATGATGAATGAAAACTCTCTCAAAATAACAGCTGGCGATTGAATTCGCAGTGAAGAACAAACATTTTCATCAAAAGTTTGAATATAAATAGAATTTTCTAGTGATCTTGAGGAGGCATCTCTGAATGAAATTACTGTAATCTGATACATTATAAATAAAGATAGATAGACAAAATCCATCTACTTAATTCAACTACAAATTAAACTTTTAACATTGTATGTTAAGGTATAAAACTTTCTTATAAATAGATATAAATAATATTGCTTAAATTGTTTTAACGAAGCAAGGCACTGTACTTGTATGAATTTTGAATGTTTAAGGAAACAAAAAATGTAGCCCTCCATATTCCAATTTTAAATCAAGCCATTTAAATTTCTAAATATATACACTGCCTGACAGTTCGATGCATAGAAATTGCGTTTTCATTTCAGAGATCATTAGCTAGATTGCTTGGAATGCCTTATACTTGTATAATATATTTCTACTGATCATTCCGATAACAGCTTTGAGATATAGCAGAGGAACTTGTTTAAAATTTGAGCAACGACTGGGGTATTAGTAATTAAATGTATGGATATCTGAATAGCGAATTTAAATAGCTGCATATATAGGTAAAGGTCTCCTTATTCTCTAATATCTCATTATTATACTACAAGTATACCAATATGTTTTATTTCTGGGGAAATGAAAAAAAAGCCTGTTCCGATTGTCACTAAATTATAGTTTTGAATGGAAATTCTCCAGTTTTAAGTTCCACATATCCCGATGCAGCAGAGGAATAAGTCTAAAATTTAGACAAAGATATATATCGTCCTATCAAGTGTCTGTCCTGAGGAGCAAATTTTTTGTTTTGCAGTGAAATATTCTTATCAATTCGCATTATTTGGCGACTGATATAAACAAGTTTTCAATTCAACAACAAATTCAACTCAAAATTGTGTGAAATTAGGCAATTTTTAACAAATATTTACATGCCTGATCGTATGATGATGATGACTAACACATTAAAATAAACATAAAGATAAATTAAAGTTTGAAATACCTTTCTGAAATCATTTACTAAGGAAAAACAAATTGTAATTCGCCAGCTCAGCGGCTTGCGAATTAAATCGCAATATGTTTTCTATCTAACTTTTAACAATTAATTGATTTTTAATTAAATACGAACACTGTATTATTTCCACATTCAATATATAAAACGAGTTTGTTTTCCACATCGCATACGCATAGTCTGCCAGAAAAGGTGTTAATTTATGTGGTTAGAAGGACAGACTTGTAAACGAACTTGGCTAACATATGTATAATTAGTCAAGTGTCTGCCTAAATCTACATTATAACCTTTTGGTTGAAACTTAAATGAATGGATTTTATTATGTGTTTACATTATATTGTCAGATGTTATCGCAGACACAAAACTTTGCTGATAAGCTCTGTCTGGGCAAAACAGCTTTCCACTCTCCTTTTCATTAATATTTACATACATATCTCGATTTCCCCCCCAGCCCCCTCATCTCATGTTTAACACTCTGGCGGTTTGATTAAACAAAGGCCCGAGTGCTGAACGTCTGCTAACTGAAGCCCAGTGTTTGTCCAAGTATTTGACATAAATTGTTCCACTAATTTGCATATGTCGCTATTGTTTGTTGCCAGTGTTTGTCGCCTAACGAGTGATAAGCCCAAGGCATACTTACTCGTATATCTATCTATCTACATACACAAATGACTCACTGGCTTCGAGCTCAGCCAAAATGTCGAGCAACTTTGTAAACTCATTTGTTGGACAAAAAGTGGATTGGAAACTGTATACTAGACTAGGGCAGTTGGCGACAATCTGCGTACTCGTATATTTTTTTAAAGCCATTTTACCAATAAAGTAATCAAGTTTAAAGGGCAATAAACGATGAGGTTTATTGTTCGCGGAACATTTTGAAAATGCTGCTGTAAATATTGACTGAGAACACATTACTTGTATGGGTTGATAGGGTTTATCATTTAATAAGATACTTAATAGCTATCACCATTTCAAGTCATGCACTTGTATATATATAAATTCTTGCATTAGCTTAGGCGTATATTCAAGATCATAAGAAAAATGTTACAATCCTTGAACATTTCTGCGTTGAAGCATATTTGATATGAAATATTTAACCCTCAGTAAATTAATGATGATTGTTTTTAGCTTTTGCTTAAAATTTGATTAAATTTCAACTTTATTCGAATTTTTAACCACAATTGAAGTAAAAATTTAATTCAATTGTTGTTATTTTAGCTTTCGAATACATATAGAAATTTTTAAGAATAGCTAGTTCATATGAAAAATTTTGATAATAGAGGTTTTTACACAACGTCTGAAAACAACTTTGTTTCCATGTTTAACAACAAAATTTTGATTATATTCTCCATTGCACTTGAAATGGGTGTACGAGAGATGCGAGTTTACGTCTTGCTGTATCTGTTTGTTTTTCATCTTTGTTCATCTGTATTCCTAGCTCTATCTGAAGTGGTTCTATGTTCTTGTTGTAAGCAAACTTTGGTCCAAGAGATAAAAGCTGTTATGGATCGTTTGTAAAATAAACGCTAGTTAGGTTAATTAACCAATCTCTGTTTAGATATATGTCAAGTTGTTCAACTATCAAAGATTTAGTTACTGCTATTTTCTTGCAACAACAACAATCGCAAAGTCTATGGATGTTCTTTTTCTGGAGGCTCTATTTACTTGTTATATTTCGTCATCTATATATTCGAACATGTCATCTCAATTATTGTTGTAGTTGTTGACTTTTTGAGGACCTTTTTGACAAATTGTCAGTGATTAAATATTAGTTATATTACAATATTTTTCAATTTCTTTTATCTGTTTAATAATAACTTTTAAGAAAGTCTTCGAAGAAACTCAAGAATATTTCTAGATTCTTTTCCATTTGTCATCACTGTCATGGGTTTGGACACTTTCCATCTTCAGAGCTTCAAGAAAGCGTCTATAACACCAGTTTCTGAATATTTATAGATTTTTTTCCATTTGTCATCATTGTCATGGGTTTGGTCTATTTCCTTCTTCAGAGCAGTTGTTAATTCAGTAAAGTGCTTTAAAATAATTCATAATATTTGCTAACTTTTTCGATTTCCCCTAAGAGTTTTGGCGCATTTATGTTCAAAAATCAGTAGTCCCTGATTTTACAAAACGAATTTTTTAATGCTCCCCCCGTAAAAGTAGAGCATTCTACACTATAGTTGTGGAAACACCGCCCTAATAAAAACATAATAAAAAAAGACCCCTATAACTAATACACTGTTTAAATTTGTTGGCGAACTTTACAAAATGATTATGTTTGGTGATAGATCCCAGACGAGGTCCGCCGCACAAGATGCCCAATTACTAGTCGAGGCAATGACCCCGCGATATTCGCTGCTCTCGGGTCGCTTCAAGCAAAGCTTTGCCTATCTGGCGCTACAGACCCGAATGCCGGGCATCATGAGTCAGATAGTTGCACAGCTGCAGAGCAATATGCCGGAGCTGGAGGAGCAGTTTGGCGAGGAGGTGCGCAAGGATGTGCCCAACATAGTGGATGCCATTGAACGACTGAGTCGGGAGCTCAAGCGAGATCGCTATTTCTCGCTCTTTCACGGCAACGAGCCGGACAAGGCCGAGTGGAATGCATTTATCAGTGAGTTGCCAAAACCGAAGCGGAGTTACTTCCGAGCCTGCTGGCTACACGCCGAGTGTTATCTGTACAGACGCATCTATTCCATTTTCGAGCATAGCCACTGTCTCAGAACCTACGACTATTTTGGGGACCTGAAGCACGAGGACCTGAAGGCCAGTGTACAGGCCATGGAGGCTGTGGGCAAGGCGACGTGCCAAATGGGAAAGAGTTGGTCGAACTTCAGTCTGATGATGCGCCTGAATGCATGGAGTAACCACTTCGAATTATTTTGGAACTCGATGGGTGGGAATGCAAAGCTGAAAGCGCGTGTTGATGTGAAGTCAGTGCTTGACACTTTTGAGAACCGACTGTTGGCAAATGACTCTATATTGGTCTGGAACTGTCTGGTTAAGGCCAAGTTACAAGGCAAACAGAAAATAATTGTGGACTACATTTGCGATAATGCGGGCTTCGAACTGTTCACGGACTTCATCTTCTTGGCATACCTGGTGGAGGCGGGTCTGGCCACGCAGGTGCGCTTGCATGTGAAGAGCATTCCCTGGTATATCTCAGATGTTACGAAACGTGACATCGACTGGACTCTGGGCTTCCTACAGCAGCATCCAAGTGATATTCTGTCCACCCTGGGCTACAAATGGTTGGACTTTTTTCGCAACGAGCGTTTCATAATGGCTCCCGAATCGTATTTTTGGACAGGCCCACAACCCTACTTTGTCATGGTCGATGTGAACCTGGACTTATTTCATTATCTGTCTCAAGCCGAACTGGCCATCTTCAAGGGCGATCTCAACTATCGCAAGCTTACGGGCGATTTCATTTGGGATTCCATGGAGGATTTTATCACCTGTCTGCGCGGCTTTCGACCCACGAATGTGTGCGCCATACGCACGGTGAAGTGCGAGGTTATTTGCGGCCTTCCCGAAGGTGTTGCCGATAAGTTGGTGCGCACCGATCCTCAGTGGATGACATCGGGACGGTATTCTGTTATACAGTACACGGATAGTCTCAGATGCAATTGTTGGCAGCACGAAATGGAAGGGGAGCAGCCGGACGACCTAGGTGGGATGAGTCTGCGTTCTATCTAACGGTTATGTTAAGGACATTCAGATGTCACTAAACAAATTCCCACAAATAACATGCGAAATGATAATAAAGATCTACTTTATAGCTGATAGAATACCAAGAATAAAATGCATTTAAGCAAACATTGCAATTCGGAAGTAGAATATTAGGAAACACCACAACTGTAGACTAGTTTCAAAATATTACTCTCATTCAATACGCATTCGACTGCGATTGAAGCCAATCGATACGATTGAATAAATCGATACGATTGAATAAATCGAAACGATTGAATAAATCGAAACGATTGAATAAATCGAAACGATTGAATAAATCGATACGATTGAATAAATCGATATATACACTTCTAATAGGCATGGTATGTGAAACAAGTTGGATACACTTTCTCATATATTTATAATGTGGAACGCTTTCATGATCCGTAGAAACCGTAAACTTGAACTGTAAGTCCCTGTGCCTTATAAGTTCTCCTCCAATATAAAGAAAACCTACTTTTTCCCTTAACTACATGGTGATACAGTTATTGAGCAATTATCTAAGAGCAATATATAAATATAAAAACAAAGTGGCTGTGATCAGCTGACATAGGAACGATCGACAAATATTAATCTTAGCACTAAAATCTCATCAGTTTATTACGATATTGTAACCAATATTTATGCCCTGTACCCAAAGGGTAAAAGGCTATATTAGTTTTGTGCGAGAGTGTACATTTATAAAGTATATATTTATAAAGCATATATATTTTTGATCAGGGTGGCAAGATGAGTCGATATAACCATGTCCGTCCGTCTGTCCATCTGTCTGTCTGTATGAAGGCAAGGATCTCAGAAAGTATAAGAGCTAGAATAACCAAACTTGGTATCTACATATTCCTCTAAGCCTAAGTTTATTAATTTTTTCCGATACACGACCCCCCTCCCCCAATACCCCGCTATTTACGATATTCTCTAACTGACCCCATGCTTGGAATTTTTAACTAATATTTCGTAGTCACATCCAGTAGTTTCATTATGATAGATCAATTAGAAACGGAGTTATAGCCATAAATATAATCTCTGCCCAACTTGTAATGAATAATTTTTATTTAATTAATGAATTAATGTAAAATTCACAATATTTTCTTATTTTTGGGAGTGTGTACAGGGTATTTAAGAGTTGAGCCTTTCTGCCTTTCTTGTTTATATCGAAATCGGTGCACTCTGTCTTCTAGCTGCCAAAAAAATGATTCGTGCAGCAAAGTTTAAGTTAAAGTATTGTAGGGGAGGGATAACTTTGTTGGATAATAAAGGACATACATCACATAAATATTAATTTTCTTATAATCGCCACCTTCATAACTGATTAGCAGTAGAAACACGTTTCCAAATTAGCGCAAGCCACATAGAAAACGCATTTGGCAAGCGGACCATAAACCGATTGCCAACAACCATTGATTCCACGCTAATGTTATTAAAATGTATTAAACAATTTTCCATTTGCATAAACACTTTACTTAAGTATGCCATGCAGTGTGGCGAATAAAAAGGGGCAGCAAGTAAATAAATGGGAAAAAGAAAGAAACACAAACAGTTTTTTGTCACAGTTCATAAAATATTTGTGTGTTAAAATTTGACGCTCGGGTTTGGGAAATCGAGACGCAAGAAGTAATTGACGGTGTGGGCGTTAAAGCTGTCAATGGACAGAATCGAGAAATATGCATTTAAGTATATAAAATATACTACATATACTATGTACATGTGTGTGTGTGTGTGTGTGTGTGTGTGTGTGTGTTTGTAATAATATGCCGTGACAATTGATGGCTATGGCAATGGCATTCATTGCTGCTGGAAGTGGAACCGAATGACGTTGCCAAGTTTTTTGTTTTTGTTTTTGGTTTTTTTCCCATTTTGTCATTTTTTATTTTATATAGTCGACGGTCAGTTATGTGGCGCATTTCAATTAGACTACTGAGCGCTAGACAAATAGACGAAGTGGCGTTACGGGTGTGTTTGACTAACATTTGCATTTGATGGCTGTGCTGAGCTGGAATCGTGAACACGAGTGTGTGATGGGATTGTGGCTGTTTCGTAGAAACGTTTTGCTAATTAAAAACCATTTTAGTTTCTGCCTTTCAAGCTGGCACATGGCTCGTGTCCATCGAAGTGCAATAATTGTTTAAAAATTTCATTTTTAAGCAATGCCCGTGAGAAATCTGACATGTGTTATAAAGCCCTTTCTTCAATTATTCACTTTGCAGACCCTGGACTATGAATTCCTCAAGTGGTGACGATGAGGCGCCCAAGGATCCGCGCACAGGCGGCGAGGACTTTACCCAACAATTTACAGAAAATGATTTCGAAGGTAAGTGAACAATAAACGTGCTTACTAAATAAAGGCCTATGACAACAAAAACAAGTGGGCCCCCCAATTAAACGGCTACAAAATGCAATAGAACGCTTCAAAGTATGTGCGGCCGCATATTTTGGCGCCGGCTCATGGACAGAGTGCCACAAAAAGCGACTCAGACACGCACAGCCCACGCGCCGATTCTCGTAACTTGTAAAAAAGTGGCACGCTTTGAAGTCACAGCCCAGTCACGCAATGACGGCGCGTAAAATTAAAGACAATATACTACTACTGGTACTGGTACACAGTACGAGTATACATAGTACGAGCATATCAAAAAGATAGCGAATTTAGATGGATGTTGGGAGGGGCAAGGAGGGCTAGATTTTTGCCAGAAATGTTGAGCAAACTGGCATTTAAAGCAAATCAAATGCCACAGTGAACACAAAGCTAACGAAAGAATGAAAATCTTAACTTAAGATGAAAGGTTTGTTTCAAAACACGGTGGTTTTAAAGCAAGTACAATCATACTATATAGCTCCTTTTTTTGTTTTAAAAGTTTTTAGCATAATATATAATTTTAGCAAATATATAAATTTTTTTGTTTATTTTTTTTTTATTTATTTACTTATTTTTTATTTTTTTTTGTTTATTTATTTTTTTTTTAATATTTATTTATTTTTTTGTTTATTTATTTATTTAATTATTTATTTATTTATTTATTTATTTATTTATATTTATTTCCTTATTTATTTATTTATTCATTTATTAATTAATTTCTGAATTTTTTATTTATATATATTTATTAATATAGTTATTTATTTTTATATTTATTTATTTATTTATATATGTATATATTTATTTATTTTTATATTTATTTATTATATATATATTATATATATATATATATATATATATATATATATATATATATATATATATATATATAATAATATATATATATATATTTATTTATATATTTATCGACAAACAGAGCTGTAGATGTGAGAAAAAAAAAATCAAAACAAACTCATTCAAATCGGTTGAAAATACTAGCATCAGCCACACCTTGTTTTTGCAGCAAATATTGACAATAATATTAATAATTGCTTCAACTTTGGTGTGATTCCCAACTATTGATAACTATTTTCGCACAAATGGCCAATTCTTCCGGTATATTGAAACTGTCTTTGGTAGGTTTTTTGCATTTTTCATCTCACAAATAAATTTGTTATATTGAAGCTAAATTCCCAGTAGTTATCTAACAATTGTTATATTTAATTGAAGTTTCATTCCAAAGGCTTTAAAATTGATTGAAAATTTAAACAAAATCGGCTGACTATAGTAGACTGTATATGTATACTATCTTGTAACTCACAAAAATCATTCACATTTTAGCATTCGAAGTACTGAAAAGTATAAAGACAGACTTAAAAGATAAGACAATGCTTGGGCAAAGCAATTCGAGCAATATTTGATGGGAAGTCTTGAAGAATGTGAAGAGAGTATTGTACAGTGCGAATAAAGAAGAAGAAATATCTTGTGAAAAAGGTTAACTGAAAACAAATTCGCGGCATCAGAATCACAGCTAGCTCATTTGCTACAAAAAAATTAAAAGCATCTACACATTTTAAGAATTTGAATGATAATGAAAAGATGATAAATTAATTGGAGTATAGATTAATTAGAACTAAAAAATTTCTGCTTGTTTAAGAGCAGTTGCCATTTATCTTATTGCCAAACATATAACGCCATCAACAAGCCGCAACTCTACAACACAATTAGAACAAAAACTATACAGTCACTAATTTTTTTACGATCTGCCAATCTAAGCCAGCTTTCAAGTAATAGAATGCACGCGTTAATGCTTCTACTAATCGCGCTAGTAACTTGAATGCCTCACAAAGTCAAAACTTTCCACAATGATTACATTTTCTTTACAATTGTTTATTTTAAATATAGTAATTTGTTTGATTTTGAATTTAGATTATTCGAATTTAAACGCTTCGATTGCTCTAAGGAATTGTTTTAGCTGGGCATCAGCTTTATTTTGCTTTTCCATTATTTTATTAGATTGACGCAGCTTATTAATTAATAAGTGATTCTTAAATTGCTTTATATATTTTTTATTATCATTATTTTCATTAATGAGCATCTGATCAAATATTTTCCGATGTTTCCAATTCAATTCCAATTTACAGAGCTTATGAATTACTTTCCATTATTTTAACTCGCATTCCAATACAAATTGCACGAATCTCTCACAAAAACGGCAACACAAGCAATCAATTCCATATCTTTACAATCTTTTTATTTTTAAATCTCAAACAATCACTATAAATCTCAGCAAAGATTAGAGAAAAGTCAATTGTTTAAAAGTGTTTGCCATAGAAATCAATCAATCGAATCAAATCAATTGCTCTTTTAATGCGCCAATTACTACTCAATATAGTATATCAGCAATCTGTTAAATAAGTTATCACAAACATTTGCTTATCAAAGTATAAGGCTTATCATACAACACATTATAATGAACTTTATAATGAAGAAAAGCTAACGTTTTGCCGGTTTTTTTTTAAAAGCTTTAATTAAACTGTTATTATTTCCAACAACTTAAATTAAACTTATAGAAAAATACAAATGCAGCTTAAACTAAGAGTTTAGTCTTATTTAATTATTTATATTTTATATAAATATAGTTCACATTTTGTTAAAAAAATATTGTAAATATATAATCAACAGAAATATTGGATTAGTTTAAACGAAATTGTAAATGATTGTAATTGTAATTTATTGAGTTAAACAAGCAACTCTAGCCTTCAACTTAAACAAAATTTGATCAAATACATATGTACATACTTGTATGCACGAAATATTACGTATACGTTTATCAATTTCTCAAAACAAATTTTAATTTTTAAGGGACTTAACAAGATTTTGTCGTTACATTTGTTTAAAACGCCTACACAAAGCAGCGCGACTAGAAAAACAACAATACTGCTAATAATAAACAAATAAAGCCGCATTGCGAAACCTTTATGATATGAGAATTATAATTAATATGAATTGTGGCATTCAAAGCAAGAAATGATTTCATAAGCGTCTCTTAAAGCCACTCATTAGGAAACTGACATAACAAAGAGACGGACAGACAGACACAGGCTTACACATTTTGCTGTACTCGGAATACAAATGAAAATTGTGTGTGTGTGTGTGTGTGTTGGTTGGGCAATTATAATGACAGAATTTAGTAATATACATAAATTTGTTTGCTGTATTAAGTCGCAATTAGGCAATGAGCCCAGCAATGAGTCAACATGGCGTATGCGCAATGTCACAAACACAAATAATAATAACAATTACAGCGAAATAGAAATTGAAAAACAGCAGCCAGAATGTAGCCGCCTTGATTATAAATCAGTACAAAAGTCTTATCAAACAGAGCAGACCAACAAAATATATATATATATAGAAAAATAATTATTTTTAAACAATTTTCTGTGAACCTTTAATGACGCGACAGAGTCTACTTATCAAATGTAATTATGCTTTTTCACTTTTTATAATTATTTATTGAAACGCGTCGTTCATTATTAATACATATATTTATTTTTTAATGCTTTTTAGGACATCGCGCCCATACTGTTTATGTCGGCGTGCATGTGCCCGGCGGTCGGCGCCACTCACAACGTCGCCGCAAGCATCACCACAGCGGAGGCGGGGGTGACGGCGGTGGCAGCGGCCGGGACAGCATCAGCGAGAAGCAACAGGAGGTGGAACGTCCAGGTAGGCACTTAAAAATGAAGCACAGCAGTATCGAGCCAAGGCTTGTTTACCACGTTGGCAAATACAATTACAAAAATGCCCTAAAAGCCCAGGCGGGATGTTGGCTTTAACGTGAACTGTGGACACAAGAGCAGCCAATCAGGGTCGGGCTAACGAATGCAAATTATAGGAAGTGCATGCGTACATGAATCACAGAGAATGCCTGACAGCCAGACAGCCTGACAGCCAGACCGCCAGAGAGTAAGAATAATGTGGGGAGGGGCCATTGCAAATTATAGTTTCATGGAAAATCATGGCATATGTGCATTTCCTTGCCGTTGGTGATGATGATAATGAACGTTTTTGTATGTGGTTGTTGGTCGATGGCTGACATTGATGAGTGCATTGGTTTAACATTTCATGTCAAGCCAATGTGGCTAGTTGGGAAGGATCCCTACCTACCTGTCAGCAACAGTTTCATATAATTAAAACGAATATATACAGAAAGCTTAGAAAGCTGCTGAGTAGACAAGCTATGACCAAAGCAAAAATAAGTCCAGCATTGTTGATAATTAACAATTAACAAGTATCACAAGGAACTTAAGAAACTTCTTGAAAAAGGGGGGTTTTGCGAAACAAACGCCAAGCTATAGAGCCCCTCACTAAGGGTTTCCAGGTTAGTCTCACTGGAGGAACTTACGTTAAACTGTAACCGTCAAGAGAAGCAAACCCATTAGATGGGTTAATACAGGCAAGCACCCAAATAAAAGGTTTCTCAAAAAACCACAAAATATTGAGTATACGTATTTGGGCACATTTTAGACTAAGAGAAGAACTATAATCAACCCTGGAAAGTTGTGTATTCCTAAAAAAAAAAGCCGACAAAGACCGAGAAAGATCTTCTTAAAACAACTAAAAAAAAATATTAAAACTGTGGGTTAAAGTCAGTTACTAAAAGTTGTTCTAATTAAAGTTTTTCTTAATACGCTTCGTAAGAATCTCCTGAAGAATTCGCAAGATGAACAAATACTTTCTTGAATTCATAGCAGGTTAAAGGGGATGATAAAACTAATAAGAATTACAGGAGCTGATGATCAAAAATAAACCCATAACATTTTTGAATATTTCAAGAAGAAAAAGTTAGAGCTTTGGGAAACCAAATTTGCTGCAACTATGACGTGTACTCAGCGATGGTAACCGCTTAGCCCATTCAATTACCTTATTTAACAAATATAGTGCATGCAGTTCTAAAGTTTATATTTGGGATTTGTATTGATTCTTCATAAGATATAGTCGATCCAACCTCCTCAAGCCTCATCAAAAACATATAACATACTCTACTTCCTTATTTTTATTCCAAGACCATCAACACCGCCTGAGGTCCAAGTAAAGTGATGGGCTCCCAATTATATAAGGTCTTCTTATATGGTTAAACTGGTGCGGTGTCAAGGCTTAGATAATGCATTTCGCACGCGCACCAGCTAATAGAGGTTTTAGGGTTATCTTTGTAAATAGTCAAGATCAGAGCAATTCATTTGGTGACCCCGAGCTCTTACAGCTACTTAGATAGATATAATGCATTTGCAATTGGATCCAATTGCAATTACAATTCAATACAATGAACTATAATCCACATTTTTTATAAAGTTTAAGTCAGGGCTTAGACAATGCACCAGCTAATAGAGGTTTTAGAGTTATGTTTGTTTAGTTAAGATCAGAGAAATTAATTTGGTGACCCCGAGCTCTTACAGCTACTTAGACAGAAAGAATCCATTTGGAAATAGGCAAAGATCCACATGTTTACAATTTAATACAGTAAACTATAGAGTTAGAGTCCCATTTTTTAGTTAACTCCAGTCAAGAGTGTAAAATGCACCTTAAATTATTCATTTGTAGGTATTTAAGCCATTCCCTCCATATGCAGCAACGAAGCAATTATTCGTAATAGAATTGCATTACTCCCTAGACTAGTAAGTAGCTGTCTAAACCTAGCTATTATACCCACTCATAAGTATTCAACAGGCTAGAAAAAGTAGCTGACACATCAAGTAATCCGTTGATTTTTGCAAGTTCGGACCAATGGTCTATTTATGACACGCACAGAACGGCAGAACATATGGGTTGGGGGGCCAATTCCCGCTAGATTTGACCGAATTACCACGCCAATTACCTCGAGCACGCACTGAGCTAAGCCGGGCTGTTTTAGCTGGTGAAGGCGAGCGGTTCGTTGGCACTTTAGTGGCACACATTTTGCTCGTCCATAAATGTTGATTATCCAACGACTCGAACTCTTCACAGTAACGCCGCCCGCACAACGCGTTCAATTCATACTTGGCGAGGACGTGGACGATGGCACACATGTCTCACATCCGCTGTTCTCTGAGATGGGCATGCTGGTTAAGGAGGGCGATGAAATCGAATGGAAGGAGACGGCACGTTGGATCAAATTCGAGGAGGATGTCGAGGAGGGCGGCAATCGCTGGTCCAAGCCCCATGTGGCCACACTCTCGTTGCATTCGCTGTTCGAGCTGCGCACTTTGCTGCAGAATGGCACCGTCATGCTGGACATGGAGGCACAAAATCTGGAGACAGTGGCCGATTTAGTTTGCGATCAAATGGTAAGCGCTGGCACCTTGCCCGCCGGCGTCAAGGACAAGGTCAAGGACGCGCTGTTGCGTCGTCATCGCCATCAGCATGAGTATGCAAAGAAGGCGCGTCTGCCCATCATACGCTCTTTGGCGGACATCGGACGCAATCACTCGTCAACGAAAAGTAAGTAGCGGGCTCCAGAGAATGGGATATTCGGGATTACATATCTTAGATATTTTGGTGTACAATGTGAAGCACATCCAGAGACATTCGAGAGTCATCATCGAGTTCACATTTTAGTCAAGCCAATTATTTTTACTAATTCGCGCGTTCTATGACCGCAATTTCTAACTGTTAACCCAAACTAGTTAAGTGTCTTAGAAAAGCGCCACTAAACTTTCATTAACAACATACCTAACTACTATGTATTACTAAAATCAAATCAAATCAAATCGAACAAAAATACGGGCACTCACTGCATGCATCGCATCATCAGCCTCAGCCACTGGATTAGATGGATGCCATACACCAATCGGCCAGTCGGCCTTGCCGGCCACGCCCATCTATGCGGCCAGTAAGGACCAGCGTGGTTGTTATCTCGCGGTCCCCACAGGTATAGCCTAAACTATCCAACTTAGATGGCCGCTGTAAAAACTGTAACGCAACAACAAAATTTTCAGTTGCCTTATGCACCAACAGATAATACCAGACCCGATACCGCACACGCCTCTCGTACCACACTGTATCAAAAACGCACACACACACACACTCACTCACTCACCCACACACCCGTTAGTTTGTAGTGCTGTTGAGCACTGAAAAAATGAAAGTGAGTGTGTTGTGCTACTCTTTAATTCTCTCTAAAAAGTCTACAAAACATCACTTTCTCGCACTAGACCAGCAAGTTGACCCAAAGAACTAGGCTATACGAGCTCATACAGTTCATTAAATCAATTCATTCATCTATCACTGTCAGTATTGTACAACAGCTATAAACAAAAAAAAAGTATGCTAAAATTTTCCAAAAATACTCCCCCGTTCGTTCGGGTTCATTCGCTCGTCCTCAACAAAGCTGACAACTCAAGTCTGGGTGCAATTGGTGTTACCACTTGGTTCCATGCGGGGGCCTCGCCTACGCGTGGCCAACTCAATCGCCAAGGACAAGCCCAGAGGCAGCAGCCACAGCAACAACAACAACAAAAAGAACAACAACAGCAGCAACAGGAACCAGAGTCCAAACAAGCGAATCAACAGACCCCACAAACCTCAAGTAATAGCTGCAAGTTGTACCTCAAAATTTGTTTTGCTTCTGCGTAAATTTTAACTACAATAGCACACTGTGTTTACCGACGATAATGTGCCGTAATATACTCGTATATCTATATACTATATCTATAGTACAAATATATCTAAATTTCTTAACTCTCCCACTCTACTTAATATCTCACCTTAAACTTCACTTTACTCAACTTTATATTCTCGATCAAACAAAACCAACAACAACTCTTTTACCCTCTCAATACTCTTAAGTAATTTTTCTCTGTCTTCAAAAGTCTATGAGTCCCCCCTGAGCTTTTGTATTGTACCCACATACTCGTATTTGATATGATATTATATGATATGATATGATTACTTTGTTATGCCACTCTCTATACTCGTATACTCGTATATTTGTGCTGTCTATGAACTCGATCTGCGCTCCACACCAGCCACTCAAAACTCACTGTTAGGTTGATGAGGTTAAGGATAATTCCAGTAAATTTTCAAGAACCTGTGGGAATGTGTTTTATAATTGTATACTGCGCTCCTTACCAACACTGGTTGTTATTTCGTTTTTCTCATCCTCCAATCACCAAACGCCACGCACATTTTCCAGTCGAAGAACATTCTGGGTCTGGCAATGCCTCGGGTAATGCTCTAGTAGCCACCACACCGCTCTCCCTAACCGCTAGCGAACCGGGACCGCCGGGCACCAATGGCAATGGCAATAACAGCATGGGCGGAATGGGACGTTTTCTAACGGTGCCCGGAAAGCCAAGCAGCAGAATGCTCGGTAAAATATTTGCAAATCAATCTCAACCCAAAAAAAATGAATACCAAACAATTGAATTGAAGTTTTGCGTTACGTTTGCGTCTGTTAATTGTGTTAATAATACTTTGAAAATGCCAAAAACAAAAAGATTATGTTTATTCAAAATTAGTTCCAAAAAAAAAACAATAACAATGTATCTAAAACAAAAAAATTGTACCCACATATAGTACATGTTTTATCCAATATGTCATGAACTTAGTTGTTTGGTCTACGTCCATGTCTGTAAATAATATTGGAAATTCGGATCCAAACGGATAACAACAAAAATTTGCATGGAATTATGAAAAGGAGTAACCAGATTCTACAGATTCTACTCTACAAAATAGACAAGCATTAACCAATTTATTTCATACATACTATATGCACGCTTTCCACACACACACACTCACAAACATACTATAGACACATACACCTTCAAAACTTCCTTGCATGTCTTTCATTTCGAATATCCGTAGTATTTATATCAACTCTAAAAATGTCCCTATTGTAGAATATTAGTGAAATACTATATTTTTAGCACCACCGATTTGTATTACTGATTTTTTTCTTGCACTCTTTTCGTACTTTCTAAACGTTCTTTTATGTTTTTGAACCCGTAACCTGTTGTACCCGTATCCGTATCCGTCGTATCTTTGCCAAATTTGTTGTCGTTGTTGTTTTGAAAAAACAAAAACAAAAAAATAAATAAAAATAAAACTCAACACAAATACACGTGCGCACAAAATGTTTGGCACCCAAATACCTGTTCCCGACTAATGTAGAGAAAAAATCTAATTCTAAAAATTCGCGAATTGCTCAAAAAATGCCCGCGATCATAGAGGATATGGTTAAGAGTCCCAGCAGCCTGTCCATGGCCCGCCAGAGCAGCGGTACGGAGTTGAGCGAGCACAAGGGCAATACGCACTTTATGCGAAAGATACCGCCTGGTGCGGAGGCCAGCAATATACTTGTCGGCGAGGTGGACTTTCTGGAGCGCCAACTCTCCTGCTTCATACGCCTCAGCCAGGCGGCCGTCATGGGCGATCTCACCGAGGTACCAGTGCCAACTAGGTAAGCTCCTAACTCTAAAGTTAAGTTTATTTCGATTTTGCTTTGTTTAATAGCCAAATAGTCGTCTTAATACTAAAACACAAATGCAACCAGTTTTATGAATATACTTCTCCTTTTATATATATACAATATTTATATATAGATATATTTCAAATATACTATACTAATCCTGAAACTCTGTGGCAGACAAATTCTATTTTAAATCAAATTCTGCATACGATTTGAAAAGCACGACTTCTTTTTTCAATCGCCTAAGACTAGACAACCAAGCGAGGTAATTAACGAATTAGTTCGAGATCAAGGCTGAGCTGACAGGGTTGCCAAGTAGCTGCATAGGTTGCTACCCAACACTGTCAACTTTTTTCCTTCAAACGCTAACTATATGTAAGAAGCTGTCCCTTTATGAACTGCCAGTTCATTAATTTTAGGCAGATGTAACCTAATTAATCCTGTCTCTGATAAAATTAAGTTTGTGAAACGATTTTAAAGTTCCGGTTCGGAACACAGAAATTATTTCACTTATGAAGTTTTATTTACCAGAGGAATTTTAAAATTGTCCAACTTTTGTTCAGGTTCGCTTTAAATATGATTCAAAATATTTTCATATATTTTTCGAACTTTTTTTTTTTTTGGTAAGTCGTTTATCTTTATTTAAGATCTTTTCTAGGACAAGTATGAAATTCTATGATTACTTTTGACAATTTTTAATCATGCTTCTGAAATATAAATAATAAACCCATATTCGCATAACGAGTAAACGTGAATTATTATTTCTAAAATATTATATAATCAAATAGTTCCAGAAACTACAGTATAATTTTTTTAAATTTCTGACCAAAGAAAATTTACAACTCTAATGATTTATGAAGGCAGTTTGACAAAATGCTTATCACGCAGCTTTATAAAGTTATCTCAATGCCCTTTAAGACTATAAGACAGCAGCTCTAGCATATTCAAAAGTTCATTATCAAAACTAACTAAACTTATTTGATAAGATTACATAATTTTAACATTCGATTGAGCTTATTAGATAATTTCCTTTTTACCTGCAATTTTAAAAATATATTTCGTTAGGAGGGCTTAAATTTGTTTTTGCTAGTTTTTATGAACTTAGACCCACTAGTAGCTCTAAGTTAGTCCCACTAAGGTTATCCCAAGTAGAACTGATCAATCCGTAGTATAATGTTAAGAATGGACTTATATTTTTGGTTGTGGCAAAGCAAATAGTAGAGTTTGTGAAATTGCAAGACAATAAACCCCGATCCGCTCCTCTTTCCCTATTATTTTGCAGATTTATTTTCATTTTGCTTGGCCCACCGGGCAGTCAAACCAATTTCCATGAAATCGGACGTGCCATGTGCACCCTCATGTCGGATGAGATCTTCCATGAGGTGGCCTATCGGGCGCGCAAACGCGATCATCTGTTGGCCGGCGTTGACGAGTTCTTGGACGCTGTCACAGTATTACCACCCGGGGAATGGGATCCAACCATACGCATAGAACCACCAGCTGCCATACCTTCGCAAGAGGTGCGCAAACGTCCGCCAGAGTTTCCCAAAGAGGAGATCGACGAGGAGGAGGAGGAGCAACGTTTGCGCGAGGAATCGGGCCTGTCGCGCTCGGGTCGCCTCTTTGGTGGTCTCATCAACGATATTAAGCGCAAGGCACCTTGGTATTGGAGCGACTTTCGCGATTCCCTGTCTATGCAGTGTGTCGCCTCGTGGATCTTCCTGTACTTTGCCTGCCTCTCGCCCATTATCACATTCGGCGGTCTGTTGGCGGAAGCGACCGGAAAAAATATGGCCGCTATGGAATCTTTGATCTCAGGCTTTGTGTGTGGCATGGGCTATGGCTTCTTTTCGGGTCAGCCGTTAACAATTATGGGATCCACAGGTCCAGTTCTGGTCTTTGAGTCAATTATCTATGAGTTCTGCCTGAACATGGGCTGGGACTATATGACATTCCGTTTCTGGATCGGCATGTGGGTTGCCGGTATTTGTATCGTTCTGACCGCGATTGATGCCAGCGCTCTGGTCTGTTACATCACACGCTTTACCGAAGAAAACTTTGCCACACTCATCGCTTTAATTTTTGTCTATAAGGTAGAATCGATATTAATCTTTGTAGGATAACTTTGTATAACTGTCTAATTGTAGGCCATTGAGAATGTGGCGGTGATTGGTAAGGGTTTCCCAGTCAATCAGGGCGTCTACGACTGTATCTGTACACCGCCACCGGAAAGTAATGCCAGTTTCCTGGAATTTGCCAAATACAAGTGGGACTCTTGTCAGGTGGGTTTCCAGCAAAAATATCACAAAGTCATATGATGTGATGTTCTCATATCTCTTGATCTCCCAATCTAGTCTTACAACGGCACCTTAGTTGGTCTCGATTGTGCGAATCCACCCACCGAGAACATCTTCCTGATGTCCGTGGTCCTCTGCGCCGGCACCTTCATATTCTCTACAGTACTCAAGGAATTCAAGAACGCTCTATTCTTCCCCTCAATTGTGCGCCAATACATAAGCGATTTCTCCGTTTTGATTGCCATCTCTAGCATGACCTTCTTCGATTATTATCTGGGTGTACCCACACCAAAGTTGGAGGTGCCACATGAGCTGAAGCCTACGCTAAGCACTCGAGGCTGGCTTATACCGCCATTCAGCGAAAAGAATCCCTGGTGGTCCTCTGTTATAGCCGTCTTTCCCGCTCTGCTCGGCACCATTCTCATCTTTATGGATCAACAGATTACGGCTGTGATTGTCAACCGGAAGGAGAATAAATTGAAGAAGGGCTGTGGTTACCATTTGGACCTGTTCGTACTCTCGATTTTGATTATTATTTGCAGTGTCATGGGCTTGCCTTGGTAAGAGAGAGAAATGAACGCCCAGATTCAGACTTCATATTAATGTGGAATTTACTTTCTTCACCACCAGGTTTGTGGCCGCCACTGTCTTGAGCATTAATCATGTGAACTCCTTGAAACTGGAATCGGAGTGTTCGGCACCGGGCGAGAAACCGCAATTCTTGGGAGTGCGTGAACAGCGCGTGACGCACATTCTCATTTTCCTCACCATTGGCGGATCCGTGCTGCTGACCCCACTGCTCGGTCACATACCCATGCCAGTGCTATTCGGTGTCTTCTTGTACATGGGCATAGCATCGCTGAGCGGCCTGCAATTCTTCCATCGTATACTGATCATGTTCATGCCAGCCAAATACCAGCCGGATTACATGTTCCTGCGCCAGGTTAGTTTCGGACAGACTAAGAGATATAGAGTCTTTGTTATCTTCTTTTCACATTCAACAGGTGCCGATTCGACGTGTCCATCTTTTCACTATCATACAGCTGGCCTGTCTGATCATATTGTGGCTGATCAAGTCCTTCTCTCAGACCTCCATATTGTTCCCGCTTATGTTGGTGGTTATGATTGGCATAAGGAAGTCGCTCGATTTGGTCTTTACGCGACGTGAGTTGAAAATACTCGATGACATCATGCCGGAGATGACGAAGCGTGCGGCAGCCGATGATTTGCATCAACTGGACGCTGAGGTGGGCTTTTGTCAGAAATATTTACCCTGTTTTGCTGGTCTCTGCAGGCGCAAGCCGAAGGCCAGTTTCAAAAATGGTGTGGATGGCAATGCCGCTGGTCTCATTACGTGCAATACGGCCACTGCAAACGAAAAAGAAATTGAAGCACAAAGTAGTCTCCTGAATAAGTGAACACCCACAACCACACAGGCACAACCACACAACCACACACACACACACCTACGCACAACTCTCCTCACAGACACACACAGTCCAGGCCCGCCGCAGTGTTGCCAGCACCGAAAACGTTGAGAATTTCGGCCCCAGTGTTGCCAGCCGCGTTGCACCGAACACCATCACCACTAAATTATTTCTAGTTTTTGCATTTTGTTGTACAAAAATGCATTTTGGTTTTAGCTATCGAGAGTTATATGCCACCTACTTGAACATATTATCCTGTTTTATATATTCTCTTAACATATTTTTAAAAGTATTTCTGTAAATGGTTTCCCCTCTGCTTTCTTTACAACCGTAGCATGCAATTTTTTTTTGCATTTTGAAAAAGTTTTATTTTTAAAACAACTATCACGTTTTTATGTAAACTTAAAATTATCTTTCTATATTTTCTGTATGTATAATTCACGATCTTTTCTATGATATATTGTACATTTTGTTTCATATTTTCCCATATAATATGCTCAATGCTATACAAATTTTAAGGCGCAACTGTACCTACGCTTATAGCTCTTGTGTATATGTAATTATATTTTTGATTTTTGTTATGAATTCCTAGTGAAAAGTTTAAAAAATAATCGGATGTTTTATCTATATATAATCTATTACTTACTTACTACTCTTATACTTATATATTATTCTATGTATTTATATATGTAAAAATGAAAATGCTAGTCTAAGACGTCTGCGCGATTCGTTTACACTGTACAAGAAAGTACCTTAATGTATTAAATGTACACGTTATATAATTTTAGAGTCAAAAACTCAATGAACTCAAGTCTAAAGTTGAACCACCAGCTCCACCAGCAAAGTAACTAACAAATCCTAGCGAAATTGGCAAAGCAAATAATATTATTAAATATAAATTTAAAAAAGTAGTAAAATTTATGTAAATTAAATAATCCCCAGAAAAACCCAAAAGAATAAACTGATATTGGCAAAAAAAAGAACAAAATTTGGTAAAAATGTTTGGCAAAAATGACAAAATTTTTCAAATGAAAAAACACCCAATTGGCTTTTTAGATTATGGAGCGCACGCGACAATTACTAACACGGGTTCTACACCAAAACACACACACTTTAAAACACTGCCTCACGTTTCTCGCTCACTTAGCCACGCTCACCTAGTGCGCTATTTCTCTCTTTCCTCTTACACACACACTCTCTCTCTCTCTCTCGCTCTCTTGCAATGCTCTCTGTGAGTTAATAAGTGCCATCAACAACAAAAACAACAACCAAAAAAACAAACTATGCTATGCATATTTTATATTGAAGGACACTCATCATCAACACCAACAGCCGCCCGGTGCAGGCTCCGACTACAATCCCAACAATCCGGGACCCACAACCATACACATACCACTCTCTGGCAACAAGGCCAACAACAGCAGCCAACAACAACAAGCCGGCAATGCCTTGCCGGAGGTCAATCGGACCACTGTCTGGCAGCAGGTCAACAAGGATGGCATTTCCGAGCAGTTGATCATACCGGTGACCGTTAAAGTGCGTCAAATCAATGGCAATCAGTAAGTGTACCAGTAGATGAAGAGAGCCCCACCATGTACCGATCTTGGCTAGCAACAGTTTTGATCTACACAGACCCCACAACACCCACAACACTCACACAAACATACACAATACAATCAAGCAAGCTACAAGACTTATTCATACCATCTGCCAATTTGTACACACTACCTGCCTACCTACCTATCTATATAAATCTCTCTCTCCTATATATATATATATATATATATTCATCATTCATACGTTCATGCTCAGTACTTCAACAAATGCGGGTAACAATATACCACCAGTGCCCCGACTATCGCCCATGCACGAGGCCGACGAGTATAACGAGACCCCGACATCAACGATCCGCCCACAACAGCCGAGCAACTGCAAGGAGGCGACGGCTAAGCTTGAAGGTTCTGTTGTCACTACCAACCAGACGCCGGCCAGCATAACGCTGGTCTAAGCCCAATTTGGGGATATACATAGAGCTATAGCCATATATACTATATGAATAGATAAACACCAAAACATAGAATAAACGCACAAATATGGAAATATGGGTTAACGGACAGTTAAGCATAAGTAGAGATGAGATGGCAATGGATACCCAAAGATATTCCCAGATATACCAAATTTTACAGCTATTTATAGAATATAGTTTAAAATTGTAGCTCTCAACAGGAAAAATTTGTTCAAATAATACCTATTAAAGAGCTTTTTACAATTTAATAATCGCGGTCCCAAAAAGATTCCAAAGAACTTGAAAACAGAGCTCTTAAAGATACTCGTACAACATTTTTAAATTTGTTTCTGATCCACATTAAGGTTCCAAAATTTGACAGCTCTTTATAAAGAGTTTTCAATCAAAACTAATCCACATCAAATAATTCAGTTTAGAAAGCTGTAAAATTTGTTTATCTTGGAATGCATTCTCAAAACCCAGGCATTTGGTCCTATTAAACATGACGGGTTATAGAGACATAGTTCTTACAGACAATGTAAGCCTTGGTATACAATATATAGTACTATATATATAAAACGTATGTAGTGGTTTTTGACAACAGTTTAGTGACCATTTTTAGCTGTGCCAGTAGCATTTAACACATCTAGTTGAAGAACTTTGAGAAACGACTAAAAGATCATTTTAGATATTCATATTTGATATATCTGTTTCTGAGATGTTCGACTATATCCACACACATATAGACGATAGATATAGACAAACAAAAAATCGCCACATACATTTGTCATTGATTTTAGGCTCAGGTACAAGTTTTTAGAAAGTATTATTATTTTACACTCAATTTTTCAACAAAAATATACACTTTTTAAATAATGGCAGCTTTTTACGAAAGAAAGCCACGAACCAAATAGAAATAAATTATTAATAGTTATATACTACAACTAATTAATTGTCAATTGAAAGCTAATGCCAGGACTTTGCTTTTTATCAGACAACTTGTGTGTGTGAGAGAGAGGGAGGGAGGGGGTGGAAGGTTTTGTAAACTTCGGTGCTTTACTCAATTAGTTTATTTTTCGCACTTTTGGCTATTCTAGGTTATTGACCATTGGGTATGATGGGTTTGATAAGCTGTGATCTCGTGGGCGTGAACTACCAATTTGTTTTTGGTATAGTTTGGGATAAAAGTTAGTGAGTGAATAAAATATACTACTTATAAAGCCAAGGCAAATTATAAAATAAAACTACTGTATAACAAATGTATTATACCTTACGCTACATTTTAAACACATTTAATAACCGCGCACATATACAGTGGATATGAATATTGAATAAAAATGCAAGCATTTAATACCAAAAATGGAACCAAAACAACAAAACAACAATTGTATTTTTTTTAAAAATCATTTTTGAGCGCCCAACTAAATAGTTTTTAAATAGTCATTTGTTTCAGTGTCTGTGTCTAGCAAAGCTTATCTTGGCACATAGATCTATCTATATGTATGTATTTATAGCACTCGACTTGGTATGCCTGCTCCTCTACTTATATAAAGAACATGCATCAATTAATCAATCAATCAATCAACCAACCAATCAGTCAATCAACCAACCATCAAAAAGTTCATCTAATGCCTAGAACTAAACTTTTGGCATCGTGTGCATCGTGTTTGGTGTCTATATACCACATATACATACATACATGCATATTACAAACTTGATCCTTAAATGTATGTATAATTCGTCTGTGATTTAGTTAATGATTGAAATAGAGATTGTATTGAAACTAATGACTGGTATTCGATTTTTACAGAACAAAGCATTTGATACGTCGAAGCAATTGTGGCGCGGATATCTTTCACCAACAGAAACATCCGTTTGAGTCAATGATTTAGTTTTCTAGAACTAATTAACTATTGTCTATTGTATTTGTGCTACTACTCAAGCAACTATATGTCTATATATGTATGTATATGTACCGTCCCCCTTCAAATTTCAGTGCGTTTTTTTTTTTTTGAGGCACAAAATGTTAACACAGACACTCTCCAATAAATACGAGTATATATTTTATTAAACGCAATGGCGTCAACCTCAGCATATCAACACACAAACCAACTAAATAATTCGATATACCTCCCTGGAATTTATAATTAATAAATGTAATTTATAAATGTATATTAAATGCTAGACAACCAATTCTTCAGCAATTTCAAATGTGCGCGCTCAACACGCGTGTCTAAAGCTCGTTGCTCCTTAACTCCACTTGCGCGCTTAGCAGCACTGGCTATGCTCAGCTGGCAACGCCAACAGCTGTTTTGGTCCGGCCGCTGCCCAGCGCGTGTTCTATCTTTTCCCTGCGCCTGTTGAAATTAAATAAAGACTTATTAATTAAAACTACCGCAAAATGTCTTTAATTTCGCGTATACTAAACAGCAATTTGCCGATGCGAATCAGTGCATTGCGCACGTTGCAACAGGTAAGCTAAAAAGTGCATTTAAAGCCGCACTTCGAAGCGCCAAGTTATGTAATTGTTAATGGAAATGCATTTAATTTTTGGAACAGTGCGGTTACTGCACCCATGCCAAGTTTGCGGAGCACAAGCCCATTGAACGCATACGCAATATTGGCATATCAGCGCACATAGACAGCGGCAAGACGACACTGACAGAGCGCATTCTTTTCTACACCGGTCGCATCGCTGAAATGCACGAGGTGCGGGGAAAGGACAATGTGGGAGCCACTATGGATTCCATGGAGCTAGAGCGGCAACGCGGCATAACCATTCAGTCGGCCGCCACCTACACGCTGTGGAAGGACACGAACATCAATATTATCGACACGCCGGGCCATGTAGACTTTACGGTTGAGGTGGAACGTGCTCTGCGCGTTTTGGATGGTGCTGTGCTGGTGCTCTGTGCCGTGGGCGGTGTGCAGAGCCAAACGTTGACTGTAAATCGCCAGATGAAGCGATACAATGTACCATGCTTGGCATTCATCAACAAGCTAGATCGGATGGGTTCGAACCCCTATCGTGTGCTCTCGCAAATGCGATCGAAAATGAATCACAATGCCGCCTTCATACAGCTGCCCATTGGCGTGGAGAACAATTGCAAAGGTCTGGTGGATTTAGTGCGCGAACGCGCCATTTACTTTGAAGGTGAGCATGGCATGCAATTGCGGCAGGACGAAATACCGCAGGACATGCGAGTGGAGTGCCAGGAACGGCGGCAGGAGCTTATAGAGCACCTGTCCAACGCGGATGAGACACTAGGCGAGCTTTTCTTGGAAGAGAAGCCCCTCACAGAGAAGGACATCACGGGTGCCTTGCGTCGGGCCTGCATCAAACGCACCTTTACTCCCGTCCTGGTCGGCACTGCTTTGAAGAACAAGGGCGTGCAGCCACTGCTCGATGCCATCATTGATTATCTGCCCAACCCAGGTGAGGTGGAGAATTTGGCTTTCATTGAGCGCGAGGGTGAGGAGCCGGAGAAGATTGTGCTGAATCCGGCACGCGATGGCAAGGATTCGTTTGTAGGCCTGGCTTTCAAGCTCGAGGCTGGACGCTTCGGACAGCTGACCTATTTGCGTTGCTACCAAGGCGTGCTGCGGAAAGGCGACAACATTTTCAATGCACGCACCAACAGAAAGGTGCGCATTGCTCGTTTGGTGCGTTTGCACTCGAACCAAATGGAGGACGTCAACGAGGTCTATGCCGGAGATATATTCGCCCTGTTTGGCGTGGATTGCGCCTCAGGTGATACGTTTACCACAAATCCCAAAAATAATTTGGCCATGGAATCGATTTTCGTGCCCGAACCTGTTGTCTCCATGGCCATTAAGCCCGTAAATACCAAGGATCGTGATAATTTCTCTAAAGCCATTGCCCGCTTCACCAAAGAGGATCCCACATTCCGTTTCCATTTCGATAATGATGTGAAGGAGACGCTCGTTTCGGGTATGGGTGAGCTGCATCTGGAGATCTATGCTCAGCGTATGGAGCGTGAATATGGCTGTCCTGTAACGCTGGGCAAGCCCAAAGTAGCCTTCCGGGAAACGCTTGTGGGACCCTGCGAATTCGATTACCTGCACAAGAAGCAATCTGGCGGTTCGGGCCAGTACGCTCGCATCATAGGCGTCATGGAGCCGCTGCCGCCAAACCAGAACACATTGCTCGAGTTCGCCGACGAAACGGTCGGCACCAATGTGCCCAAACAGTTTGTGCCCGGTGTCGAGAAGGGATTCAGGGAAATGGCCGAGCGTGGCATGTTATCCGGACACAAGCTGGCGGGCATTCGTTTTCGGCTGCAGGACGGTGGTCATCACATTGTGGATTCTAGCGAATTGGCGTTCATGCTGGCCGCTCATGGCGCTATCAAGGAAGTCTTTCAGGAGGGCTCCTGGCAAATTCTGGAGCCCATTATGTTGGTTGAGGTGACGGCGCCAGAGGAGTTCCAGGGCGCAGTAATGGGACAGCTGAGTAAGCGTCATGGCATCATTACGGGCACGGAAGGCACCGAGGGCTGGTTCACAGTATACGCCGAAGTTCCGCTCAACGACATGTTTGGCTATGCGGGCGAGTTGCGGTAAGTAGACTGTCCCTTTTATATGCACCTTTAATAAAATGCACTCTTATCCTGCATACAGCTCAAGCACACAAGGCAAGGGAGAGTTCACCATGGAGTATTCACGCTACTCCCCTTGTCTGCCCGACGTGCAGGAACAAATTGTGCGGCAATATCAAGAATCGCAGGGACTACAGCAGCCCGAAAAGAAGAAAAAGAAGAACTAAGATCGTATCTAGTTCAAGTTGTAGCGTTAAAGTCGAATGTTTTCTATAGTTTAATTGCATCTTTAGTTTTTAACTGTGATAAACCTGATGAAGATTTTTGTAAAAATAAAATCCAAGCAAAGTAGAAAAGTTTATTTGAATTTGCCGCGTCAAAGATAGCTTCGAACATATGAAACTTTTCAGCACTACGCGTGACTAATGGCGATATTTTTAAAAATGAATAAATATCAGCCAAGACCGTTACGTTGAATAATTATTATAATTTTCATACAAATAAAATAAATAAACGAATCGTAGGTATTTAAAACAGCCGCTCTGCAAACACATGGAAGGTACGGCAGCTTACAACACTGTCCCTGAACAGCTGTGCCGTTTTAAATTTCGAACTCACTGTGACTGCCAATTTTCGCTCGAAGCGTTTCGCTCTCATCGCAGTTGGCTCTTGTTTTTCACTGCGTTCGGTGGTCGTGGTCGGAAAAACGGGGGAAATGCAATTAGGCATAATAGAGGAATATAATAGAAGCGTTGCAAAGTAAAAATTGTGAAAACCGAATGCAAAAGCGTGAAAGGCACACCAACAACTACCATCGCTGCAAAATGCCAACGAAACAACGACGACAACAACAACAACCTAGCAAAGTGCCAGCGTTTCAAGAAGTTAGTTTTGTTGTGTGTGCGTGAAAATCCGACAAATTAACTTAATTAAATAATCAGGAAAAATGTAATCTAAACGCCAACAAGGCAATAGTGAAAAAATAATAATAATAAAAAAAATACAACCGAAACTTCGACGAACTTGTGAAAAATTAAGCATCAACAACAACAACAACAACGGTAACGATAAATCAACAACAAAAGGCAGAAACGCAGCAGAAATATTACAGCAACAACAACATCAGAAATATGAATGTCTCTTGTACATGTGTGTAAAAATGTGTGTGTGTGCGTGTGTGTGTGAGTAAGAATTGGTGAAAATTCAAAGGCGCGCGCTGCGACGTTCAACGTGTCAGCAAAGCGGGCGGCAAACATTGGAAAATTCAATACCTCGCCGCTCTTCGTCTACATGTGTATGTGTGTCTGCGTGTCTGTGTGTGAAAAGCGGGCATAAGAACAGAAAATTTGTTTGCATTTTTGTGTTGTTGTTGTTTGTCTATGCAAAAATAACAAAGTATAAAACAGCAAAGACGACACAGAGACAGCGACAACAACAACAACAATAATAAGCATAGTAGAGAAGATTCAAAAGCAAAGTAAACAACAACAACAATTAACGCTGACTTCCTCTTTGGCATTTGAGAACGCACTTACCTGCCAGCCAGCCAGCCAGTCAGTCAGTTGCCTGCAAGAACGTCCGCTCGCTCGCTCGCCCGCCCGCCTGCCTGTGATTTAACCTGCGACCGCTTCCCCCCTCCGCTCCACACATGCCACTTGCCACGAGGGCCAATTAAAACGCCCACGACGCGCTCATTGCATTTTTGTCGCTTGTGACAGTTTCTTGTCACCGCCGCTCTTTGTGTTTGTGCAAATGGTCGAGAGCACAGCAAAATGATGAACCGAGCAGTGCTGCGACAACAACAACAACAACAACAACTTCCAGACGCCGGCACTACTAGTCAGTAACTTGGCAAAAAGACAACAGCAGCAACAACAATAACAACAACTAAACACTAGAAACATATCCGTATAAAACAACCGAAAATAAAATAAAATTTCCAAGTCTAACAACAAATTATTGTCGTCTTAAAAACAAACACTAACAAAAACAACAACCTCCGGCAACATGGATTGGATAATTAACGATGAGATGGGCCTAACCATCGGCCATGTGGTGGGCTGGGCCGCTGCCTCGGCAATGGTCATTGGCGGCGTCATACCGTATGTGCCGCAATATGTGGAGATCAAGAAGACCCAAGATGCTGAGGGCTTCTCCCTATACGTCTGTCTGTCTCTGCTGATAGCCAACTCGCTGAGAATTCTGTTCTGGTAAGCATGACAAAAGAAAACAAATTTTATACCGACATGTTTGCTTTGTTATCTGAGAGGCGGTCGACGGCAACGCTTATCGCCCCAATTCAACAGCCTTTAATCTCAACCCTACCTATGGCATGATCTCATACATATACTCGCCACCCCCAGATAAGGGGCAGCTATTAGTTGTACCTTTGCCAATTGTTGCTGTCATGATTTCTAGCCGACTTTGTGGAATTTATTATTGTTATTAATTGCTATTTTTATAGCGTTGACCCAGTACGCATGTACGCCTACCCTATCTATATCTATATATACATATGTATATAGATGATATATGTATAGTATGGGGGCTTTTAGTATTGAAATGCGTGCATAATCGCGAAATTGTTAATTGGGCGTTACTACTACATTATAGAGAATGTGCGATTGCCTTCAATTCGGTAAATTAGATAGCAGTTGCAGATTATTTTGAACAGATTAATTGAAGGTCTAAGGCTTTAAAATTTTGTAATTAGACAGTTAAGGCAAAGAAGTTTTCGATTTCAAGAGTTGGACGCACAAAGGTTATAGCTTTTTTATATACACCCTCTGGAATGAAGTCTTGGTGAACCAGGTTGTTCATTCTTTGGCCAAAATAAAAATCGCTGGACAAACTTTTTGCTCAAATTTCTCATAATATAAAAGTGTGTGAGGTGTAATCTAACTAAGAAAATGGACTAATACATGTGAAATTTGTTCAGATGGTAAAGCTTCAGCTGTAGTTAGGGAGTCCTAAGACGAGAGCTTAGTAGATTCAATACCGGAACACTCTGCAAAGCGAATTGACAAAATATTTCTCACTTTCATATATCTTTGCAGTTCCATACATCAATTAGAATAAGACATCGGATAAAATATAAATACGGTCTTTAGAATTAAAAACGGTTACATTGTACAGAAAATCCCTTGAAAATAAAATGAATATACTTGTACATGTATGAGACAAACTTGCGGCTTTGGAATATAGTTTAAAAACTTGATTGTTTCTTTTCAATAAAACCTTAAAAAGTTGCTTGGATTCTGACGCAACTACACGTCTATATACTATATGTATATATATGTACATATGTATGTATATATGAACCATTTCTGAATTTTGTTGTCTAACATTTCGATATAGTGCATAAAAATGTCGGCCGCTTTGTCAACATATTGCGGATTTCTAGAAACATCAGCTTTTTTTTACCCACCTGAAACCTAACCACATTTAATTTATGTGGTTTAGTCATTTAATACACACACATATACATATTTACATATATTTTTCTTCCAGACTACGACAGTTATGGTTATATTAAATGTTTATTAAAACTTAGGAGCACTGTTGTTGGCTCATACTCTTCATAAGCTTCTCATCTTTAATGGTTCAGATAAGCCAACGAAACAGCTTAAAAGTGGCTAGATACATAGGACTAGGTACCAATCGAAATGTGAACATTTTTAGTAGCTCAGCTCTTGTTTTTTTATGCTACATATATAACAACATATCTATACCAATCCAAAGTAAGTTTGCTAATTTTTAGAAGGCGCGTTTAAATTGCCAAATTTATTTGTAATTTTAAAAAATATTTTCTCTTAAATCTCTCCTTTTAAATCTAATAATATAATGTAAATTTCAAAAAAGCCCTACAGATAAAACAGATTTCTGGACCTCTTATCAAAACACTGTTAAATAATATTAATATTTAACATATTTTCATACAGAGGCCCGCAATCTCTCTTATCTGAATAAGCCAAAGCAAATAATCTGTGAGAAAAGTAAGCACAAAAATGTTCAACTAATAGAAACAATTATATTTTTTCTCTAAACAATCGACGGAAATGCTAAAGTGCTTGCTATAATTATATTAGTTTGTTTCCATAGCCCCGCAGATGTGGTTTGTTTTTATAGATTCTACGGCCCCCATTTCATTTATTACAGAAATTAGCGAAGCGCAATTAGTTGTTGGTACGTTTTTAATGTCACGTGACACAAATGATTCAAAACAAATACATTTAATTCAATTGAGAGGGAGAGAGAGACTCCCGAATAGAGGCCCCGAAAATGCGTAGGAAAGTTCCATAGCCAATTGAATAGATGTGTAAATGACGCATTTGATCTTCCAAATAAATTTGCCAGATTCTCAGATATTCATGAATTTATAAACTTCCGCGACTATCAAAGGTGCTAGAGAAACAAAACAAAAGCTCTTCAGAAATACCATAAGTGGAAATGTGAAGTACTGCTTCGATTTTATGCCATAAAGTGGGGTATTTATTTGTTTTGGCAACGCTTAAAGATTTCCCTCCTTCTTTGAAGAATTGTTTACGAATCAGCCACGCAATCATTCACAAAAAGCAACAAACTTTCCCAAGGTAGCAAAAAAAATATGCCCTGCCTTCACGCTCTGCTCTTTGGCTGGCCAAACACGTTTGCCACACAGCTGATCGAGTCGAACAGGTAACAGTTACGGCAGTCATTCAGTCAGTCTGTCAGTTTATCAGGGCCAACTACTAGTCGCTAGTCGTTTGGCACCTACGCTCATTAATTATGCAGTTTTAACTGCCATTTCCGTAGCAGCACTACAATTTCTACAACTAATTTATAGCACACTGGCTAGACATTTCAGTTATATTTACTAATTGTTAGTCAATATATTGATGCTTAACAATGTTAAAGGGCTTATCGAGTTTATATCAAAGTTAAACCCATTTCAATATGCGATTGGTCTCACTTTTATAACTTAGCTTTCAACATATAATTGTTTTTTCAGTTTTATAGCAATATCTTATCTATCATATTTCTTAAATTCTGTACCAATTCCCTTTAAACTATTCGTTTTCAATTATAAAATTGATAAAGAATTCAATTTCAATATTAAAATTGAATTGCAATTTGGGTTAGTTCTGAAGTTCATCTTCTATTTAATTTCAATTTAAATTCAATGATAACGAATTTCAATATCTAAATTCAATTACAATTTAGTATAGTCCTACATTGAATGTCTATTGATTTTCAACAATGTTCAGTTTCGTTTTTGAAAGTAAAAGTGTTCAATTTGCTCTTATCTTCAATTCAACATGGGTTTAAATAAAACATTCATAATTGAAATTATATTTCAATTATATTATTTATCATTTATGACATTTCCTTCCCTTTTATTTTCAACTTTTATGCAAATGAAATACAATTTAAATTTTAGCAATTTACTTTTGCTTAAATGATAATTTAATATTATAAGCATTCAACTTTTTCGAACATTTCAATATTCAAGAATACACCTGAGTGTGTCGTAAATTTAATTTCAATATTTAATTTATTATCATTTCAATTCAATTAGCTTTTAATTTTTATTCAAATTCGTCTTATCTTCAATTGCAATTTGATTTAATCCTGTATTCAATTTGAATTTTCTAATGTTCTCATATCGAATTTCAAAATAACTTTAATTGAAATGCAATTTTCAATTTCTACAGCATTTAAAGTTTATATCACAGAATTTCTCTTGTAATTTTAATTGAATTTAAAAATAATTTCAGTATTGTTTCAAGAAATTAAGATTCTCGACGCGTTTTTAAGCCATGGAGTTTTTAAATTTATCCTGTCCATCTAAATTGTTCATTTATAAATAAATACAAAAAAAAAAAAAAATAATAATTCTAAAACAATTCAAAAATGCGCGAAATTAAATTAAATAAAAGAAACCAACTATAAACATTCCCATAACAAATTGTAGTAGAAATCAGAGAAGAATCTAATATTTGAGTATATTAGGAGTATGTCTAATTTCAATTTTTCTTGCATGAATTGAACGTTAGACCCAGTGTGACAGCGCCAGCACCTTAATAAATTATTAACAATTTGTTGCAAAAATAGACCAACCAGACGTGCAGCAGACTGTGTAGGAGACGGAAATGGAGGAGCAACTGGTGGCGTGCTCGCGTCAATATGTCTACGTCGAGAGCCCACAACTGGTGCTGAGAACTAGAAACATTCTCACGCATTAGTCATCGGCCATCAATTATTAATAATTCAGGCTTGAGCTTCGGCGCTTGATTTTAAACGTTTTTCAATTGTTTTGAGTGGAAAAAGAGCTATCAATGAATCCAATTGAATCACTCAAACAGCTGTTGCCCAACAAGACACACGTACGAGTATGTCTGTAAATGAGAACGTTCTTTATTAACTACAAGTAACCAGCCCCTGCCCTCAGACAACTTTGTCACGCGATTGCCGCCGGAATTTTAATGGCAGTTCACGCAGAGGCTTACCGGTGGCCAAGGCTCTACGGGGTTTTCAAGGGCGTAGCGGGCAGAGAGCTAAGGCCACATCGCAACACGCTCCTAAATCCCATTTGACGCGTGCCTTCGACCCAAATACTTAAATGCTATAGAAAAAATCATACAATTATACAGTTTTTTGTTAAACAATTTGTGCCTTGCGCCACACTAACTGAACACTGACAAGTTAATTTCAATTGTATTCAGCTACAGTAGCCACTCAAGATAGCAAATTCTTTATTTTTTAGAATATCTCTTAAGCTAGTCTGCTATTTTTGATTGACACTGTGGAATAGAGTTACATTTTTGGGAAACATTTGCATTTTTCTTTTGTAGTTTATTATATTTCTGGTCTGGTTTACTTATCAATAGAACTTATTTCTGGAGAAAGAAAATGAAAAGATTTCAAGTTCTTTAGTTTCAAGAATATTTTTACGGAAAATATTGTTGATAAGATATCTATGCTACTCTGGTTTATTGGCAGAATCTTATCAGTCGAGTTCATTTCTTAATCAGAAAATTATCCATAAAGATAATTTCTGGCAAAAGGAATGAAAAGATTTCGAATTATATATACATATAACCTTCGTAGAAGTATAAATTTGGTGTTTCAGGCTGCAGTTTTCAGAGAGAGAAACTTCAAGCCTTTTTGTGCGCTTCAGAAAGGTATACACTTTTTAGGAACCTAGATTTTTAGCCTACAATTTTCCGAG